TTCAATCAGTTGGGTTCAAAACTATCAAAAGTGAAGTCTTTTTTTTTACACTAATTAAAAATGCTAGTACTTCTGCTATTGGAATGTATGTGTCGTGAATGATCTCTACAGACATAACAAGGTACCAGTAATAGATTGGTTATGATGGTTATGCGCAGGGTAGAGGCATGTGACAGATTTGTAATAATAATTTTTTTTAAGTAGATTTGGTTCAAAACTGTCACTAACGAAGTTTTTCTTTTTAATAGATTGAGTTCAAAAACTGCTAGCAAAGTCCTTTTAAGCTTCAATCAGTTGGGTTCAAAACTATCAAAAGTGAAGTCTTTTTTTTTACATTAATTAAAAATGTTAGTATTTCTACTGTTGGAATATATGTGTCATGAATAATCTCTACAGATATAACAAGATACTGATAATAGGTTGGTTATTATGGTTATGTGCGGGGTAGGGGCATATGACAGATTTGTAATAATAATTTTTTTTAAGTGGATTTGGTTTAAAACTATCACTAATGAAGTTTTTCTTTTTAATAGATTGAGTTCAAAAACTGCTGGCCAAGTCTTCTTAAGCTTTAATCAGTTGAATTCAAAACTATCAAAAGTAAAGCCTTTTTTTTTTGACACTAATTAAAAATGCTAGTACTTCTACTGTTGGAATGTATATGTCATGAATAATCTCTATGGACATAACAAGGTAATAGGTTGGTTATGATGATTATGCGCAAGGTAGAAGCATGTGACAGATTTGTAATAATAATTTTTTTTAAGTAGATTTGGTTCAAAACTACCACCAATGAAGTTTTTCTTTTTAATTTTAATAAATTGAGTTCAAAAGCTACTAGCAAAGTTAAGTTTTAGTGGTTCAGGTTCAAAACTGCCAAAACGAAGTTTTTTTTTTGACTCTAAAAAACAGCTAGTGCTTTTTGTGATATTTTGTAAATAATCTCTATGGATGTAATAAATAATAATAGGTTGGTTATGATAGCTACTGTAATTTGCGGCAAATAGTACCTGGGTCTCTTACATTCCTAGACCTTAAAAATTGATTAGTACCCTCCCTAGGACCGTCAATTAACTATATAATTTGACTAAATTGACACACAATTAACTGTGGGCGGGTACTTTAACAAGGGGGTACTATTTGCTGCAAATTACGGTATATACACATAACAGATTTGTAATACAATATGTATATATATATAATTCATTTATTTAAAGCATTTTTAAGCACATACATACTTATCTCAATGAATTCAATAAAAGAGTTAATTAGCCAAATTGACCAAACATCAATCAGATTCTTTGTTGAATAGATGCTTGAGAATGCCCTTAGACAACTCCTTCTATATAAATTTAACTACCAAGCAATTGTTGAAGTTGATTTGAGCCAATTTGATAAAATTAGCTAATTGGAATATTTTAATGTTTTTACTTATGATCATATTATAAATATAAGCATGTATATATTTTTTTGCAATATGAAGATTATTATCTGCATAAATTGTATAATTATTGTATTATTGTTAATTTTTTTACAAAAAGATCTAAATTTCTGGGTTAGTTCTAGGCTTTTATAGTTAGTAAATTTTATCATACAATAATGTTATCTTAAAACTTTGCGCATTATCTTGGAATATACATGCATGATCATACAACTACCATAAAGTATAAAAAATAAACACAGCACCCTCTACCCTACTTTTTTCAATTTCAGATTAGCTGAAATTGAAAAAGCAAGATAGAGGGTGCTGTGCTTATTTTTCATACTATGTATATGAGATACATTATTTCGGGACACACATAAACATTATTTTGAGTTAAATATACAATTTTTGTTATAAAAATTATGTTTTTAAAATTTTTAAATTTTATATTGTAAAATGTCTATTTTTTCATTAAATAAAAATATTTTTGAAAAAACTCATATAGAAAATACACAATTACAAACAGATCTTTCAAATTTGCAATTTCAATATTTAGTTCAAGAAAATAATAATTTACCTTTATCTGAAACATTAGAAATTTTTGAAAATATAGAAAATAATCTTTTAGAAAATGAAATATGGACTGAGGAAGAACTTTCAAAGTTTAAAACAATATATTATAAAACAATAGATGTTTTAGAAAAACAAGATAATGATCAAAAATTAGAAGAAAAAATAAATTTATTGCAAAGTGATGATTTTAAAAAATCTTTTGAAAAAGGTTGTTGTGAAAAAAATTGTTTATAAACCCAAGTTAAGTATTCTGTAGCTTTAACTAGATATCTAAATTTTAAAAATCTTTCTAGGTCTTTTTAAGATATGTACTTATTAGATATAATTGCTGTTACTAAATAGCCTGAAATTATTAAAAATTCAAAAAAATCTAAACTTACTACAGAATATACTTTTGAAGGAAAATCAATTTGTTTAAGTGCTTTTAAAATAATTTATGGGCTTGGTGATACATAATTGAAAAATTTAAAAGATCATTTTGTAGAAAATGATATTAATTTACGTGTTAATTCAAATATTGGAAAAGTTAGCAATCGAGCAATATCTTTTGAAACAGTAATGAAAGTTATTACTTTTATAGAAAACTTTGCAAAGCAAAATAGTTTACCATCTCCAGGTAATTTTTTAGTTTTATAAAATAATATATATATTTTTTATTAATAATAATAAAATAATATTTAAAAAATATTTTTTATTAAAAAGTTATTTTATTAATTAATTTAAAATTTTATAGGCCAAAGTTTTCGAGATAATAGTATTGCAATTATATATTTGCCAGCAGATATTACTTATTTATCTTTACATTTAAAATATTTAAAAATAATTAAAACAAATAATCAATTTGAAGTTAGTTTTACAACATTTTTTGGGTCCATATCATTTCCCTGACATTTTTTTCCCCAACATTCATTTCCCCGACCCCATTTCCCTGATATTCACTTCCCTGACACTTTCATTTTCCCGACATTCACTTCCCCAACATTTTCATTTCTCCGACATTCACTTCCTTGACACTTTATTTCCCCGACAAATTATTTCCCTGACACTTTCATTTTCCCGACATCTTAATTTTCCCGAAAATCCCTTCCCTGACACTTTTATATTCCCAACAATTACTTCCCTAACAAATCACTTCCCCGACACAATTATTTCTCTGACATAATTTTTCCCGATACAATCATTTCTCTGACATGATTATTTCTCCAACAAATCAACCCAATCTTTTCCTGGTATAGTTATTTTCCCAACAAACAAAACTCTTCACCGACAAAATTACCACCCAACATTCCCTTTCTCGAATTTCCAGTCAGAAACCTTCCTAGAACCCACATGCATTATTTCGAGATAAGTGAAGATTTTCTAAATTCAATATAATCGACAATGCATGTTGTTAATAATAAAATATTTATTATGGTGAATAATTTATATATAATATTAAACTAATTAACATGTACAATAATGCGAAAAATACATATATACTTGAAGATTTAAAAAATTTGCTACAAATCAAGCAAGATGATTCTCTTAAATTTCGAGAGAAATTTAATTTTATCATTTGAAGATATAAAGAAGCAATTATTGATCTAACAAAATCGCTTGATATTGAACCAAACAACAAACTTGCACTAAGATATTGAGAAGAAGCCTATTATATAATGGGAAAATATGAAGATGCAATTATTGATCTGGCAAAATTGTTTGGTATTGATCCTGGTGATGATGTAGATGAATTATTGAAAAAAAAGTGGATTGAAGCATTTAATATGTGCAATAATGCAAAGAATACGTATATACTTGAAGATTTAGAAAATTTGCTGAAAATCAACCAAGATTCTACTTAAATTTCGAAAAAAATTTTAATTTTATTATGGAAAAATATGAAGATGCAATTATTAATCTAACAAAATTGCTTGATATTGAACCAGACAACAAATTTGTACTAAAATATTGAGAAGAAGCCTATTATATAATTGGATAATTACATTAAACAGATCAAATTATGTGCACTTATAGAATGTACGTATATAGATATAGCTATATGGCTATATATCTATTGCATTAGGATGTGTGTTAATTCAGAACGCATAAGAGCGCTAATTTGAAATTATTTTTGACGAACATTAGGTAGTCAACAATAAACTCACCTATCATTGTGACTTCAATGACATAAACAATTTATTTAATTGTTCAGATCCACTAACCGCAAATCCTAACAGCACCAATAGCTTACGAGCTACTAAGAGATGGGTGGGAAGGTGGGCAGCCTTCACTATGAGACGAGCGATAGCGAAAGAAAAGATAACCTCTTCTATTAACAAAAGCCTCTTAAAAATACTGAATGGATTTCTTTTAGAGCGGTTATAATACCAGAAGCGGAATGATGAAATTACGTAGTATATGGTTTATTAACACAAAATATTGTACAATTTTTAATCAATCAAATTTTAAAATCAGTCTGATCTTGAAATTTGATTTGTCAAAACCGTACAACATTTTGTATTGCACCTTTTCACTCAAATGAATTATAATTACTGATACATTTTTATCTTGTAAAATTTGCTAAAAATTCTGGGTCAGAATTCATCAGTGCTGAAGCAACTAGCCAACCAAGTTCATGGCAAATTATTTGCTGCGAATATTACTTGGTGGATGGTCTATAATTTTCTGATAAAATTTTCAGTAATTTCGGTCCAGCCATGATATTTTTACTTAGTGTATAGACTATATCTTCACACTAGGAAAAAATGCAGTTGCAATGAAATAAGTATATGGTTATTTAGTATTTGGAACGTAAAGACTTAAATCTTATAGTAAGTTACATTTTAACTATGACATTTACAGTTTTTTACATGATAATAGGTTTTGCAACAGAATTTTTACAGTACTAACAATACAGTAATATTATTGATAAAATTTATAATAATTTTAATATAAACTAAACTCACCTTAATTACATATTGTAGTTACCAAATAGTAATTAAATTATGTAACAGAATTTCTTTGAAATCGTCAATTGTTGTTTGTGATGCAATTTTGACTTTATTGACGTCTCCATTTATAGGGTTACCACTGGTAAAAAAAATAAAAAATTTAATATGTCAAATGGCACTATTCAAATGCCATTTGACATGCCATTCAACTTATCATATAATTTTCACAGACGTGAATGTCCGTGAAGTCATGTGATAGAGTTAAATAGCATACTGAATAGCATTTAAATAGTGCTATTTGACACATCAAATTTTTTATTTTTACTGGTGTAAGTCATAGAACTCAAGTAGAGTTTAACCCTTTGAAATTCTAGTAAAAGAGTCAACTCTAAATTTCCCTTTGATAATGATAATAAAATAGTCCATATAAATACTCTCTTGCCCCCATAATCTTAATATATTCAAATATTAGTAGAATAAGAGAGAGAAAGAGTTGATTAGTAATCCAAACTCCTTTATAATCAAATAACAATTGATTAAATCTTATTGTTACCTCAAATTGGCTATAAATCAATATCACGATTCTATTCAATAACCGCGTGAATTACTGTAAGCCAAGACCTGAGAATAAGTGTTACCTTTAGCTTTCAAAACCAAGCAGTAAAGGTATAATTTTAGATTATACTTATCTTAAGAGTAGGGTGTAACTATTTCCAAATTCATATAAAATAGATTGTAGATCAATCTTGTGTAACCAATATTATATGGTATCATATGATTTACATATAAACAATACATGATCTAACCAATCATAATTAGTTATTCTTTGTATAACCAGGAAAAAACATATAGCGTCCAGGGAAAATTTTAGTTATATGTAAAGTTAAATTTTTTAAAAACAATATGTATTGTACAACTTTATTATTATAAACAACCTATTTTAAACTACATATTGTATAAATTTGATACAAATTGGTTAAGGTATTAAAAAGTTTTATTAGAAGCACTTTTTTGTTTACTATATAAAAATTCAATATACCACGTAGATCATATGAAAATTGATCTACGTACACCCTACCCTTAAACTCCAGCATCGCCGCAGCAAGACCCGAAAGACCTTGAGACTTGGACCAAGTCTCTCCTTTCTCTAAATATAATAAACTAATTGTTAAATTATGTTTTGTGTAATGGTGATGAACTTATGTTGTAAGAGGCTAAATAGTAGAAGTATTATTTATCTTCAAGTTTTGTCTAAAATAAATCATCTAACTATACTCTATATTTGATTCTAAAAATCCAAGTTGAGTCTTGATCTTCGAAATTTGAGTAGAAGTATCAACTCTAAGTTAGTTTCCATTGATACTAAAATAAACCCTTATACACAAATCGTTGTTGAAACCTTTTTGATTCATTCTAGCAAACTTTCGATTTTTACTTAGAGTAAAAGAAAGAAAGAATCAATTAGTAATCCAAAATCCCTTTTATATCAAATTAATACATGATTAAACCCCTGATCAACGTCATTGTTACCTCTAATTGAAAATCTAAATCCTGTGACTTATGTGATGATCGTTAAGAATCTTAACAATTAAATCGAATACTAAAGCCCTAGTATACTCAAATTGAAGAAAAATGATTACTTTTAGCTTCATACGGAAGCCTATAAACAACCAATTAAGAAATAATTTAAGTCATACTTAGTTTAACCACCAGCATTGCTGCAGTAAGACTCGAAAAGACCTTAAGACTTGGACCAAGTCTCTCTATGCCTTAAAGTTTAGTTAGTTTTAGATATTAGTCAAATAGTTATCATCTTTTTCAATGTTCTATCATGATTTTTACTCGTCTGTCCCAATTTATATTTCTGTACCAGTCACAATTTTTCTATTGGTCCAATAGATCTATATTTTATTCTATTGTTCTATTGTTCTATTGACTATTTTTACCAATAGAACATAATAAATGCCAACTCATCAATCAAAATACCAGTATTTTGAAATTATATATCGTATTTACCCAAAATAATGCTCTGGAGCATTATTTTGAGCAAATACAGTAACCTCTCCCAAAGCATACTATACCCAAGGTATATTTTGTAACCAAAATTGTATATGGTGGCTTTGATAAATCTCGAATCGTTCAAATTCATTAGGCTACAATTTTACATAATACACTCGTTTACATGTATTTGGAAAAGTTTAATATAATTAATATATTTTTTTTCTCTAGCAGGATGCCATATGTGTTAGATTAAAATTTACCGGTAATTATTTAAATTTAAAATAATAACTCTCCAGACATTTCGCATAGAGGTAGCTTACAAACTACAGTTTATTGTAAAAATTTTTAAGATTTTACTAATAATATTGCTTTTAGTTTATGTTACGTCTTAATTCAATGTTTTACTTTTCTTTTTTTCCTAAAAAAATATATGTATGATAATTAGAATGTGGAATCATTTTTAATGACAAAAGATTCTTTCAATAAATAAATACATTTCACGTTCTTTATCTCTTTTGGTTTGTTTCAATTCACGCAATTTCCGTGCTTCGTATCCTGCCTCTTCATCCAAGCCGCCTACATCATCAATTTTATTAACACCAGTTATTCCATTGAATACAAGTTTCATAGTTTAATATGCAACAAAACAAGTATACAAAAACTGTGTATTAAAAGAAATTTACCAGTTTTTTGTAATTCTTTCCGAACTATTTCGGCAACCATTAAACACGACTCTTTTTTCTCTCTTCCAGTTCTAGCAATCTCTTTGTTTCTTCTAATTTTTTAGTCCTTTCCTTTTCTAGTATTGTTTTCCTATATTCTCTAAAAAGTGTTAACAATTAGCTCTTTAAGTAATTTACAATTTACACTGTTACCTAAATTATGCACATACTTTGGAATAAATATGGGTTTCAATAGTTTCCTCGATGTATGTTCTTCTGAATTAATCACATTCTTCATGCTCCAGTTTTTTAATTTTGCTTTCCTGTATATTACAAAGTGTTAGAATATGTTCAATGATAAGAATAACTATATGAAACTAATTCATGACAAATATAATGATATTATGAATAGTTTCTCTTTCATTTGAGTGGCCTGAGTTTTCTCTGATTCTTTTATGACCCTTAAACTTTCTTCTTGTTTTCCGATATTTTGATTCTCTTCAAAATGTATTTGCCCTCTATCAATTACTCCAAGATATTCAGCTTTCTTTGCCTTCTTAGTCTATAGTCTAAAGCTTCTTTTTCCATTATATTTACCTTTTAATTTAGGTTCTTTCTCTTTCAAATTGCTCCTCTTCTTCTGATGGGTAATCGCGGATTCCTTCTGGAACTTTTCCAGCCAATACTGCAAAATTTGACCTTTGAGTTTACACTTCCACGTACTGCTATTTTGTTTTTTTACAAAACTTTAGTAATTTAAATATAAATATCAATCATAAATCTTGATATATATATATGTCATACCTCAATTGAAATCTGCCCAACATGGAAAAATCATATAACTATAAATTGACCGATTCTTGAAGTAAAAAATGATTTGTATTGTTCATACTAGAGATGTGAACCGTTATTCATTGGACACTAAATTAATAGTAAATCCAATGGTATCCATTGGATTTACTATTATTTAGATATCCATTGAATAACAGTTCACATCTCTCATGTATAGAACAATCCGATTGTCAAATCAAGATTAATAAAGTTACTCAAGAGACTATTGTAAAATTCAAAAAAAACAAGAATTGTAAAGCCACCTACCTACCTGACAATCCAAACTAGACTTGGCAAAGCTATCCTTAATTAAGAGATTACTATAATGATACTATGAAACGCATGATGATAAAAAGTAATAAAATTTATACATCCATTGAGTACTAAATTTCAATATTATATGTGGGCTCTGGTCCAGGTATAAATACGAATTATGGTCTCATACAATTGTTTACAACTTAAAATAGCTTCATAATTAAATTCATGTCCTGTTAAATTGTATAGAATAATTAGTTATATTAATCTTGCAAACCACTATTTCTAAAAATGCTTTATACTTACACACTTATGCTAATAAAATTAGTTAATAAATATTAATTAATTGACTTCTAAAATGAAATAATTCTATGAATAAATTTTATACTTACATTAAGAAAAACAGCCTTAATTCTTACCACAAAGTTAATAACAAATCATTATTTACAAATTAAAATTGCATATTTATTTAATTTTTTTTTTCTTAGTACAAAACAACTAAGCCAAAAAAAATTCCCAAAAGAAAAAAAGGATCATGATGTTTTAAGACATAAATTGTATCAATTATTTTGAATCATCTTGAATTTTTATCTGATTTTTTATAGATGAGAGTGTTGAAAATTCGAAATCAAATAAATTGGCAAGTTTCCATTTTTCCATGACGTCATCTGCAGGATGTTTCAAACCTATTAATAATTCGTTGAAAGATAAATCTTCTGTTTCCTCTGTTTTTTCCAATTCATCCGTTCCAAACAAATTTTCATATTCTTCTATGCTTTCTTCTTCGGAAATAAGACCCTCAGACCATTCTTTAAGAACTGCTTTCCATTCTTCACTAATATCTTCATCTACACTTGATTCGGAATCATCTTCAATAATCATTTCTTCATTTTTGTTAGTTTCTAGTTTTATAATGTCAGAACTTTCTAAATCTATAACATCAGAACTTTCTAAATCTATAACATCAGAACTTTTTTGTTCAATATCGTGAGAATTTGGTTGTTTGTGTCTATGATCATCAGAACTATATATAATATTTATGTTTGCTAATATATTTTGCTCTAGAGATTTTGCTGCTTCAATTATACGTTTATACTTAATTTCGGCTCGCATTTGTGCCATTGAAAAAACTTTATCAAGCTAAGAGTAAAAAATTTCATTAAAAATATCAATATTATTCAATTTTAAAATATATATATTAATATGAATTTTTTACCAGTAATCTGGTGCGTCGTGAGTTGTGAAAAAAGCCCATTGTTGAAAATAGACGCTCACATGATGCAGAATTAATACAAATTGAGAATAAACAGATTGCAAGCATGCCTAATTCTTTTGTAGCACCTATGGAAAAATCCCAATACTCCTGAATGTTGGCAAAGTTAGAAGCCGTTTCATCATCAAATGGATATTCTTTTGCCATAAATTTTGAAAATTCTGATAATATAATGACTGGTTTGGTTTTAAACCATGCTTTGTAGTAATACTGTATCTATAAGCCAACCTGAGATAAGTTTAGTGAAGAATGACTATTAAAAACTTTGCTACGATATGCTGGGTGAAGAAAAAAAGAAAGAAGCAACAAGGGTTGTTTCCATTGACTCCACCATGTTTCTAAACGCTGAACCATATTTTTACTAAACCTATCTGATTTATTTTTATATAATTGCATAAAATATGCAAATGAATGAAGAACATCTGGTAACCGTGCAGCATCCCGTTGAAGATGATTTAATGTTGCCATAAAGGGAAGCATACATGACTCAAGTTCTTCTATTGTTTGCAACAATTATTGTCATCTAGAAATTTTGCAATATTTTCCGGTAAATCTTGATATTGTAAATAAAGAGCCTATTAATTTATTAATTTTTTAACGTTAGTATAAAATTATAAATAAAGTTTAAGAAAACATAGTATATACATACTTTTAAGGCTCTTTTATTGCGAATTAATGAGAAAAAACAAAAATAGTAGCTGTTCCAGCGAGTATTTATAGGTCTTACAAGACAATAGTATTTTCCATATAATTTTTTTTGCTCTTCACGCAATTTACCAATCCAGTGAGAATGTCTACTATCAGTAAAATATGCAACAATACTAATGGCTTTTGTTGATGCATCTTTATATTTAATTGATGATTTAAAAATATCAGCTACACAAAGATTTGCCTGATGAGCGAAGCATGGAATAAAAACCCAATCGGTATATTCTAGTCGTATTCGACATCTAAATAAAAATTAAATAATTATTTTTATTTATATATATATATTTAATATGATTTTAATTATATTTACCTTGCTGCTACATATGCAGAAGCACTGTCCGTAACAATAGCAATGATTTTAATACCTTCCATTTCGGCTCATGTAAAAAAATTTTTAATTATTTCTATAATATTGTTTGTTTTACCACCTTTTACTGAAATATCTTCTGCACCCCAAACTAAAACTTTTCCTTTACTAGTAATTAAAATGCTTCCTAAAATTTCTGGAAAACTAGTATTTATCCAACCATCAAATATAAGAGTATTACCAGTTTCATGTTTTTTAGCTTCTACAATATGTTGGCGTTGCAATTCTTCACTATACAATGAGAGTACATGTCCACTAAGTGCACGGTGACTAGGTAATTTTAGATTTGGATTTAGAAATTTGAAAAGTGCAACGATCTCAGGATCTTCAGTCCATCTAAATACCCATCCATTACTAATTGTAGACTTTAAGATATGTCATTCAAAAACTACATACCCGGCTGAATTTAAGTCTCGAATAAGATGATTATTCATTAAATTTTTTGATGGTTGTAATTTTGTACGACGTATAGAATGGTTTTTGGTTGTTTTAGTAGTTGGTTCAGAAGAAGTAGAAATAAAACTTGAACTTGTAGATAAACTTGAATTTACAGATAAAACTGTATTTGTTTCTTGACTTTCATTATCTAATCCATAAAGAATTTCATTTCTTTCTTCTTCAGTATATTTTTCAAAAAAATTTGAACATTTCTTTAAATGTACTTTAGTGCAAGCTTTTGTATTAGTAAAAATAGATCTTTCGAGTACTACTTCTTTTCCTAATTTGTCGATGCAAGCTTTACAAACAGCAGCTTTGTTAACTTTATTTACATGAGTTTGTAAAACTTCTACATATAGAGTAAGTCTATGGGGAGGTTTACCACCAAAATGTTTTATAGTAAAGATATTCAACGAACTAGAGATTAAGTTTGTAATACAAACATTATTTATTTATAAAACTGGGTTTTAAATTTTCTAAAAAAGGCAATTATTCTATTCATGAATAGAACAATAGATTCTATTCTATTGATTCTATTGTTCTATTGACACCAATAGAATTTTTTATTGCCAACTTAATAGAATTTTTAATAAAATCAATAGAACCAATAGAAATTTTATTCTATTAATTATTCTAATTTTATTTAATAGAACAATAGAATGACAACACTGTTTATTATGTACTCATAGTTTTTTATAATGAGCGAATGAATATCTTGTGCTTATCTTTTTCAACTCCAATTCTATTAAGGGTCAAGTGTAATAGAAGTTTTATATTCATAAAGATTGTAGTGTCTAGCATTACATGTTTATCAACATTACCCATCTCTGTAGATTATTGATAATGAATGAAAGCCTTACATTCATCTTTTTTACCAATCTCTGTAGGTTTTATTATGAATCATCACGAGACCAAACATGTAATATGTTCGGTCTAATGATCGATCAGTGAAGTAAGTAGGCATAAAGTAATAAGATACGTACGAAATAAAGTAAAGTTTAAGTAATTAGTTGAGTAAAGGCAATTAATTAACTAGGTTGTAATATATATATATTACAACCTAGTTACATTAAGTTGTTATCTAGTTATGGGTAAAGTGTTGCCTAGTTATAAGTAAGATGTTATCTAGTTTCTGTTTTTGGCACTTTGTGGCCTTTTGGGAGCTGTTTTGGTTATCTTGTTTACTTTTCTTTGGATGCTGGTTTGAAGACTGTTTTGGCTTTTTTTATTTGCTCTACCTTGAGTGCCGGTTTGGAGACTGTCTTGGTTATCTTATTTACTCTGTCTTGAGTGTTGATTTAGAGATCGTCTTTGGTATCGAGAGTCTAGATCCCAAGCCCACCTTGGATCCCGATTCAGATGCTAGCTTGGGTCAAGTTATGGATTCCGATTTGGGAACTAGCTTGGGTGAAGAGGGGCTTACATTAGCAAAAATAAATAGGCGTAAACCTCCGCAAGTTTTTACGCGAGTGTAAACTTATGAAAATTTACAATTAGTTCGGAGTATTACGTAGATGTAATAATTACGAAAGTTTACGCTATAGTAACTCCGGAATATTACGTAAGTGTAATAATTACGAACATTTACGGCA